AAAACCTTTAAAAAGGCCAAAACTGTAAATAATGACCACATATTTACAAATAATAATTCACTTTTTTTTACAACGTGTGACTGTAAATTTACAATTTTACTGTATTTAAATCAGCTAATAATAGTACTTTACAGGTATCTGCCATTACTTTTATGGTTTTTCCAGGTTTTGAAAGTTACTCCACCATTTTTTTTACGTATTTTTCTTGGCACCTTGATGTATGATTTTTAGTGCATCATGCGTTCGGGACTTATTCTACACCGAGGATTACGTAAAAACTAGATGAGAGATGTCAGGGTTTAGACGCGTCCATGAACCACAACGTCCTGTTTGAATCCAGCTGGGAACCATTTTTACATGTATCTCCCTTTTGCTTCCTGCTATCTTCATATCCCTGCATGCATACACTGATTCCTCTGACCAACAGGTGATTAGAATTAATACAAACTATTGCGAAAGACTAAAGATCAAATCAGGGATCTGAGCTGTGAGAAACAGCACTAAATATCCTGTTTAGGTTACATCTCAGGGTTCAGAATGACACTGCTTCACACTGGCAGGAGGTTTACGGAGCAAGAAACAGCCCACAAGAAAAACAGCGCTGCCCTGGATCATCCTGCTCCTGAGGACTGATTAATGGCTTTTCTCATGCAGCTGGCAAGCAGCGGGTCAATAAATCCACTGCAGGCTGCTCTGTGCCTGCCACTGGTTAGAGACAAACACTGCAGCTCTGTCTGTGCAGCGACAAGCACGCCAAAGCCTTTTCCCTCCAGAGCGAACAAAGTGGCGGCCACAGCCTGAGCCAGTCACCAGCACAGCATCAGCAGCAGCCATTTGGCGTTATTTACAGATAAATACTGCTGACTGGACTGCAGGCTGCAAGCTCCAAGTATGATAGCGCGGGATTGAGCAGAATTAATGCAATGATGCATCACATCAGAAGCAGATTAGACGCACAAACGCTGCCTCGTTATATTTCTTTATAGCAGCAGCAGGTGTAGCTGTGCATATATACTCTGTGTTGTACCAGGTTTTATTTTGATAGATGAGTCTTAATCAAGAATGAAAACTCCTCCCTTTGACTGATAGCGAGATGTCGGTGCTCATCTGACCCCTAGCAACCGTGTGTTGGAGCTTTTCAACCTCCGCCCTCAACAAATACAACTAAAATATGTTCCTGTTTGCACAGCGATCAGCACGCTGGGGAAGAATGGTCAACGCGGGCCAGAAAACACAAAACCCGACTCATGGAGGCAGAAAAGATGAAGCCTCTCCATTTTATGTTTCTACCTTTGAGGCGAAAGACCATTCAGCCGATTTATTACTGTGTAATTTTCCTGGAGTCGATGGTTATTACTGCGGGAGCGATGACACACTTATCTTAACGTGGAAGAAGGCTAACAAAAACAAAATAACATCCTTCAGTGATATGAGCCAGTGTTATCTGCCCACATGTGCTGCCGTGGCGGAGAGGGAAAAGGGAATATTTACGAGGGCAGGACATTTAGCCAAACAAAAGCCATTGTGACCCAACAGGGAAAACAAGACTCATTTCGTGGGAATAATGAAATTCATAAACAATGCTTCAATTCATGAAGGTCAAACTTAATGGAGGGAACAGATGTGAAACAGGAGCAGGTGGGTGAAGCAACTCCCTCAGTAATAATTAAACCACTGATAGATGTTTTTTAACCCCTTTGATAAAAACGAGAGACTCTAGCACTTAATATTTACAGAACTGTACTGGTTTGAAGCAATGGAAACCACTAATTCAGGGAAAATTGCGTTTGCTAACAAAATGTTAACAACAGATAGGTCAGACTGGTTTTAAAACAAACCCTCCTGGTTTAATCAAACATATCTGCAGGAGAAAACGAAGGCAAACAGAACAACTACGCCGCTAGCAAGCTCATCTGCTGCCATGTTTACGGTTTACTAAAAATTCTGCCTAATATGCCAGTGAAGCGCCGACCTACCGAGGCCTCGACTCCGAAAAATCTGTATTTTTACAAATATTACTTCATCCTTTTACAACAATATTTAACCTGTTTTGGGAAATTACAAATAATATTACAAAAAAAAGTGTTAATTTACTTGCTGACTTTAAAAAAAAAAAAAAAAGTACATAATGTTCACATCAAAAATTTGTACCTTAAAAAAATTGCAATTCGTTATTTTGCAATGTTTAAGCGGAAAAGTGCATTATTTTTCACTCTATTTAAATCATTAAAAAACAATTATTTACATTTATTTGTCTGCATCAAAAATCTGTTCGTTTACAATGTGTGACCATAAAATATATGTATATTTATTATGTATATACTGTATTTAAACCAGCTAAAATTTTGCCATTATTTTTTTCTTACAGTTTTCACTTCTTTCAGTTTTGAAAGTTACAATATTGCAGTAGTTTTTTTTTTTTTACATATTATTTTGGGCAATCATTCCAGACTTTCAACATTTTTTCACCAGATCTTTTTCAAAGAGCATATTACACTGCATTGATGGTGTATAATCAGTATTTGTTGAGTTTTCTTTCTTTCTTTCAGTACAACTTGTGCTAAATGAAAAACTAAATTAAGATGTGATGACAGAGAGTAGTTCAGGTGTAAAAAAAAAAAAAAGAAAGAAAAAAAAGATGAAAATATTGATCAAATGTCTCAGTAACACAAAATTATATTAATACAGCCTAACAATATTGGTGACAACAGCTTTGACGACAAACTAAACACTTCAGCCAGCAGCTCGCTGTCCACTGCGAAAACAAGCAAGTTCCTGTTTTTCGTCCTACCTGGACTCCCTCCATCCATAAGCTCCAACCTAATGAACTCCACCTCCACTGGGCTGATCACCTCCGACAACAGGCAGGCAGAGGATTTACCCAGGTTGACCAGGGCATTATCTAAACACAGACTGTTTCTGTCGCAGGGGTTTAAAGGCTGTGAAACCTCAGTGGGCCACATTACGCAATCTGCAGCCTGAGTCGAGCTGACCGAGGAGATGAAGCGGCTCCTCGGCTGCCTGGATGGTCAAGAAAAGAAGCAGCGTGGCGTAAAAAGTAGGAAACAAAGAAGAAAAACGTGCCGAGGTACTGTTGTGCAGGTGACGTCTGACTGTCACTAAAAGATGATGAGCTAAAGATTTGATATTATGAGTAAAATGCAGTTTTTGGTATCTTTAGACGCTGATTTCTCACCGTTTCTGAGTCTGAGTGTTTTTTTCTTTGCCTTCAGCTCATCCCCCAAAACAAAAACAGAAAACCACTTCAGTCAGAGTCACTGGAGACAATGAACTGTGTGGCAACAGCAAAGTAATACATTTGACACTTTACTTAAGCAATTTCTTAGAAAAATGTAACCCTCTGACTGAGGCAGAGCAACCGCTTGGAAAATCTGTCTTTTTTGTCATTTTTGCATATTATCTGATGTGTTATCCGCCCTTGCTTTGTAAAGTAAACCATGTGTCTCTACTTTTTATGCAAACAAAAGAGCAACTGATGGTGGCACCGATGCCGTTCCAGGAAGTCCTTCCATCTAGTATCATAAACAGCTGCTCTTTTTGAAAGTCTAATAAGCCTCGTGTAAGTTATGTAAAAAGAAAAAACTAATTTCAGAGCAATATCTGGCACAAGACAAAACAAAGTCTAAATTCTCAGAATCCAACTTTTTTCTAATGAATATTTTCTGGGAACTTTCCTTGTCTTTGACAGTGAACTGAGTGTCTTTCAGTTGTGGCTAAAACGACGTCACTTCTGGCTTTTGGGAAACACTGATGGACATTTTTCACAATGTTCCAGCATTTTATAAACCAAACAACTAATTGATTAACCAAGAAAACACTGAACCTACTATTCACTTAATTGAACAATGACAGTAGTTGTGGGTTGCAGCACTAAAACACAGTGATGGGGCGCAAAATGATCACATCCTGACTGGAGCACAATCAGTTGACTGATCTGAATTTAAATTTCTGTTTAATCGACAGGAAAATTACTCACTATAAACATCCCTAACCATCGGAATGGCTGGTAAAGAGATGTAAAACATGTAATTATGCTTTGAACACACAGAGGACAGCAGAAATGAGATGCAATACTTTAGTCCCAACTGATGCCAAAACTGTGAAACTTGATACTTGGTTTTCCATAGTTCCTAGACATGGTGGACGTTCAGGTGCAAACACAACAAAAGAAGAACATTCAGAGGAATTACCTTTTCTTGTTTATTGCAGTACTGAGCTGGTTTGCACTCTACAAAGTGTATTTGAGCTGCAGCTGAAGTTCTGTTTTGATTAAATCTCACTTATGTTTCTGCTTTGGTGAAGCCTGTTTTGTTTCGTTGAGTCTGTCAACTTGAAATGACACTTGGGTCCTTCAAACTGGTTTACAGCTCCTTTAGTGTTTTGCAACCCACTCACTGACTTACGGTGTCCACACTTTTCTGCTGCAACTTCACGGCAGAAGCTGGCATCTTGATGTTGGCTTTGCTTAAAATCAAAATTTGCACTGATGCTCATTTGAGAGGAATCAAACAATTTAAGCACATCTAACGTAAATGCATTCATTTTATGTTAACCTAATTTGGATATATGTAATCTAATTGCAGTTCCAATTGAAGCAATTCATTTAAGGTGGTCCAAAAACTTTCCTTTTTTAGTGTAATTGTCCAATAAAAAGATTCAACACTTGGCATCAGCTCGTCTCTGGTTTCCCCTTGAATTACTTTACACAAAGCAAAGACTTCAGCCTGCGCACAAAAAAACACTGCAACAACACATGTAAAACCATTTCCAGAACACTTGAACACAGAAACCATTAGTCTTTTCAAGTCACACTTCATTTTCTCATAGAAGCTACTTTGAATCTGCCTTTTTAAAGAGCTGAGACGTGATTCCATGTAACCATATCTGCCTGGATAATGTATTGTTTGATGTCTGATTAATCCAATCTGAACTACAAAAGCTGCTGTTGACCTGCATTTATTTATTTATTGTTCATAAACGGTCACATCGACATGGAGAAAAAACATGAAAGACCCTGACCATTCATGCTGCAAAACCAAAAACACATTGCAGCCAAACCGAGCTCTCTCCACCCTTCCCGCCTCGACTCCACTGCATGTGGCATGCCAGTTGCTGAACTGCGCAGTTTGCTAAACGAAGCGAGGTGGTGGTTTGGGAGGCACAAAGCCTCCTTTGTTCTGCTGGGCAAGTCTCAAAGATTTTTTAAGCAAGACCAATTTCTGGTGGTTGTAACATTCAGGAGACAAGCGAGGCGAGGTCTGGTCTGCTGGGAAATAATGGTGGGAAGATCTCACCGCTACCTGCTTTTCTTACATCCACGCAGAATTGCAGGTACATGAAGCTGACCGTCCTGCACACTGTTTCTGACATACTTAACGTAAAGCCCACCAACATTCAGATGAGTTGTCTTTGTTTTTCTAGGTCAGCCATCTTAAAACTACAAGAAAATACTAAGATTGAGACTTGGGGATTTGGAATACCAGAACAAAAAAATACTCAAATTGGTAAATCAAACACAAAAAATAGTTGAAGTAATTGATTAATCAACAAAACATTGCAGCTTTAATTAGAAAGATAAAACAGATATGCATGTATTACTATCATAGCCAATCAAAACTAACTCAAAACTTTTGTAGAGGCTTGTTTAAAACTGCTTCTAACCATCTATTCATATAAAGCCAAATACCTGCTGATTACAACGATTAGCACTAAAACTAATCAGCAAAGAACAAGAGGTTTCTGTGGTATTTGCAAGTCTGAGACTCTCGAGTGCGACATAAAACCAAGTCTGGAACCAAAAGTTATACTTTTGTCTGTGAAACTGCATGAAACACACAAGAACATTGTTGGTAGAGTGATTTCATTGTTTTACAAAGGTTTGGTGTTGAGCAGAGGAACACCGTACTTCAGAAAACTCAGAATACAAATATGCAAAGATGACTGCATAATCATGTAAGGTACAAAAAACAACCTCCAGCTGTGGAAGGAATTCTGTTGGCGAGAAAATGTAGATCACACATACTAGCAATGTATGAAAGAAAATGAGAAAATACTGTGTTACTAAAGACACGTTTGGGTTCTATATTTGGGTAATCAATGTAAAAAAAGACGACATGCCTTTAAAATGTTGTAAAGATCCCCACCGTCTATTCTGAGACACTGGCTGAACATATGAATAGATAACGACCTAGACATGTGCTGAGTAGAACCAGCATTTTATTATTTTTATTTGCCTTATTTAACCAGGAAGTCCCATTGAGATTAGAAATCTCTTTTTCAAGGGAGGCCTGGCCAAGGTAGCAGCCATTTAATGCAAAGCAGACTGCCTAAGATTTTAGGTTGTATCAATCATTGATGGCACAAAATTTCAAGTTTATTATGTAATAATAGTCAATAATCATCTCTACCTGTAGTTTAGCGATGATCTGTACCTTCATGTTGGCTGACATTAACCCCAGTTAGATCACTGCATCCCTACAAATATCTAGAAACTGAACTCTGAACTGAAATTTGCACTTTTTTAATTGCAGACCTCAGGTGTTTCAAAATGCACAATAAAAACATTAGCTTTGCATCAGCTGTGTGTGGTTTCCCCTTGATTACTTCACACTTTCTTCACTTCATGCAGGAAACGCTGCAGAATGACAAACCCACACAGAGCATTTTCAGAATTTTAACTGGTATTAACACACAAGACTAAAGCCCAGTTTCCGTTTTCAAATCGACAGTTCAATTTTTTTTTTTTAATCCAAATTTCTGAAAAGCAGAAACAAGACACTGGTGCTTTTTGTCTACTACTGCATGGGATAGTTGGGATTATAATCATTTGTTAGCATTTATCATCATCACTGGAAAAAAAGAAGAAAAAAAGAAGCAGAAACAGCCCAGAAATGCTTCTTTGTGTTTGCCCTGAGACTGAAACTGTTACAGTCTGATCTGATTATTCTGGAGAAGAATGCTGCTAATGCCATGACGAAAACATCTCATCTTATTTTTAGTTTCCCTGCACAGAGGATATGAAAAACAGGCCGACTTTGCCATCATGAGAGGCTTTCAAAAAGAAGAGCCGATTGTTAGCTTAAAAAGAAAAAAAGGCAAATCAACCGTCTCGCTTGAACCACTGAGCCTCTCCGCTTGAGCAAGAAACATGACACTGAGCAGGAGCTCTGTAAAGCCGGCGGCTTATTCTTTAAGTAAAAGAATGTCGCAACACCTAAATCTACACAACAATATATGTGAAAATCTTAGGCCAGAGGTGTGACTCATCATCCGACAAGTAACGACTAACCGTCCAATAACATGATGCCGCATCAACAGCTAGAGTCTCCAAGGATGTGACTCACTTCCCTCCACCCTGTTCGGCAGCAAAGCTACTACCAGGACCGGAGATCGGTGAGCAGCAATCTGACACCCACCGAGAGGCAGATATTGACAGATTGTCAGAGAACAGAAGGAGCTTCTTTCAACAAAACAGTCCAAAGAAAACAAGGAGCCTCA